GATTCTTTATTTTTTGCAAAAGCTATTGTCAAATATTAGTAATAAATAAAGTAAAAAGAAATATAAATAATATATTTAAAAACAATAACTATCGATACATACAGGGCTAAACCATTTTCCATAAAACCTATTGGTATATTGGTTGGGACTTAAACTATGCATAAACTTAGGGAATCTTTCTTCAAGACATTGTTTAAGTGCCTCTTTCAAGTTACTTTGGCTGGATATATGTTGTTCAGAAAAAGCCGCTTGATTATGCAGATAAACACATCCTATATATTTTTTTAAAATATCAATATATATATTAGTACTTACTAGTCTTTCTATCACAAATCAAAGTACTATAGATCACTTAAACATGCTAGATCTAAATTATTACAAAAAAAAATAGATTTGTTACGAACCAAAAATACTTATATCTATTACTTGTATAGAGAGATCATTCTCTTGTTCTTCTTGGTACCTTTCCAAGCAATCTAGTCTGGTTTTAATTTCATTAGAACTCATATCAAGCTTTTTAAAAATTAAATATAACTGCTTAAATTGAGCGAATATTTGCTCATCAACTTGCTGATAGTATTGGTGGTGATCTTAATATAACAATAATAATAATAATAATAAAAATTTTATAAAAAAAAAAAAAAACAACAATTTGACAAAAAAAAAAGAAAATAAAGCCTTTATATACGTATCATTTCGATTATGTGTACGATTTTGATTTGACGATCTTCTATATATATCACATGCTGGTGATCTTTCTCATGATCATGATCTTGAAGAATATTGATAAACTGAAGATAATAATCGATTATTATTGATATAGTGTGACCTATGGTGAGACCTAGGTTCATGACGGGAAGTAGATTTATTCTGAGAAGTGGTGGAAGGCTAGTGAGATATGGAACAAGTGGTAGATAGTTGGCATGATAGTTGACACGATGGTTAGCATGATTGTTGATGAGGTAATTGTTGGCAAGATACTTGTGAGGAAAATGTGGTTATTGTTAAATATGTTCATTAGATATTTCTAACGCTTTTAAAGATTGAATCAGAAGATAAACCATCATCGTTAGGGTTGGGAGGTTGATGAGGTCTAGTGATATCATTAGTATTTAAAAGGTGTGTGATATTTGACCGAGAACGAGTTGTAGGTACGGCAAGGTATGGTG